TTTAGATGTTGTTGCACTCCTGCCAGCCCCAGCCATCATGGCCAAAGGTCAAGGATTATGGGAGTTGTAGTCCAGCAACATCCCAAGGCCACAGGTCCCCTATGCCTGGGGTGCACTGACCAATGGAATCAGGTTTTCATACAATGGTGTCATCAGAGAACTAGCAAAATATCATGAGCAAAGGTGGAGGGGGACAGAAATGGCAAAAGAGGGACTCATAGGAGTCTTTGCACTTGAGTTGTGGGTGCCACAACAAGCTTGCATCCATGTTGTGGAAATTAAGCACCCACAGGGAACATGGTTGGGTACAGAAGTACCATTAAGAGGGGCGGGGGGGTCACTCCTCCCTACTCTTCCCCTATGTTTGAGACCACATGTGATTATTCCAAACCTCAAGAAACACCCCCTCCCCAAAAAATGAACACAAGCTGTACACTTTGCTCTTAACATTCATTATTGTTGTTTTTAATTTTGCCATTTAATTTTGAATATCTTCATATATTTTTTAAAATGATATTTATTAAAGTTTCAAAAGAAGGATACATAAATAAAAAAGAGAAAAATAGAAAAAAGAAAAAATACAAAATACAAAAAAAACAATTCCATCTTTTCATCACTTCTCTTTCATTTACATGTTTCCCGGACCTCCTCATACCCCCCTGTTTTGTATTCCAGTTCAATTTATTTAGTCCCACAATTCCTTTCCCTCCTTTTTAATCCTGATCTTTAATCTTAATATATTATAGCATTAGGTTTTTACGTATTGAAAATCCAATTTTTCCATATTCTTTTATACCATTAAAGCTGGAAACCACTTAACTTCAATCCAACATCATTCTAACATTCATTAATTTTACAATATTTCTGTAAGTAGTCTTTAAATTTCTTCCAATCTTCTTCCACCGACTCTTCTCCCTGGTCTCGGATTCTGCCAGTCATTTCCGCCAATTCCATGTAGTCCATCACCTTCATCTGCCATTCCTCCAGTGTGGGTAAGTCTTGTGTCTTCCAATGCTTTGCAATAAGTATTCTTGCTGCTGTTGTAGCATACATAAAGAAAGTTCTGTCCTTCTTTAACACCGATTGGCCGACTATGCCCAGGAGGAAGGCCTCTGGTTTCTTCAAGAAGGTATATTTAAATACCTTTTTTAATTCATTATAAATCATCTCCCAGAAAACCTTAATCCTTGGGCACGTCCACCAAAGGTGAAAGAATGTACCTTCAGTTTCTTTACATTTCCAACATTTGTTATCGGGCAAATGGTAGATTTTTGCAAGCTTGACTGGAGTTATGTACCACCTGTATATCATTTTCATAATATTCTCTCTTAAAGCATTACATGCCGTAAACTTCATACCTGTGGTCCACAACTGTTCCCAGTCAGCAAACATAATGTTATGTCCAAAATCTTGTGCCCATTTAATCATAGCAGATTTCACCGTTTCATCCTGAGTATTCCATTTCAACAGCAAGTTATACATCTTTGACAAAATCTTAGTTTTGGGTTCTAACAATTCTGTTTCTAATTTTGATTTTTCCACCTGGAAGCTGATTTTCTTGTCCAAATTGTATGCCTCCATTATCTGATAATAATGAAGCCAGTCTCGCACTTTGTTTTTTAGTTTTTCAAAACTCTGCAGTTTCAATCTATCTCCCTCTTGTTCCAAGATTTCCCAATATTTCGGCCATTTGACCTCCATATTGAGCTTTTTCAGAGCTTTCGCTTCCATCGGTGACAGCCACCTTGGGGTTTTATTTTCCAATAAATCCTTATATCTTATCCAAACATTAAACAATGCTTTCCTGACAATATGGTTTTTAAATGCTTTATGTGCTTTGACCTTATCATACCACAGATATGCATGCCATCCAAATACATTGTTAAAACCTTCTAAATCCAAAATGTCAGTGTTTTCAAGAAGTAGCCATTCTTTCAACCAGCAAAAAGCTGCTGATTCATAGTAAAGTTTGAAGTCTGGCAGGGCAAATCCACCTCTTTCCTTTGCATCTGTTAGTATTTTAAATTTTATTCTGGGCTTCTTGCCCTGCCAGACAAATCTAGAAATATCTCTCTGCCACCTCTTGAAACAGTCCATTTTGTCCACAATTTGCAATGTTTGAAACAAAAACAACATTCTAGGCAATACATTCATTTTTACCGCAGCAATACGACCCAGCAGTGAAAGCTTTGACCAAATTTCTATAATTTTGAATATCTTCAAGCGCTGACCTTTGAACTCGCCGATGACTCTCGCCTCCCATGGAGGCGTCGTCTTCCCTCAAAATGGTGCACGTGAGTGGGTGGGTGGGAGGTGGGGACTGAATTGCTGGAGCAATGGCTGGAGCTGTGGCAGGAATGCTTCTTCTGTGCTAGCTAGTGTGGGTCAAGGCTCATTTGGGTCCAAGTTACCCATGTAACATAAAAGCTTCTCTCCCTCTCTCCCTCTCTCTATTTCTGCTTGCCTGGGAGCAACGGCAGCTCTTTAGAAATGAGAGCGCCACAGCATCTACTTCCCATCCCGGCTAATTATTCTGATTTTTTTTTTGTACAAGTGACTAACAGCTGATTTTTGACATCGTCTACACTTCCTGTCACTCCACTGACAAATTCCTTTAATAAGAAGAGCTGGTTCTCCCCGTGCAGCACATCGCTCCATTGTGAGGAGGTTTCGCAGCAGCTGTGAGGATTATGAAAGGGCTGAGACCTCGCTGCTGTTTGCTGGTGCTTTCTTGCAACGGATCCAACAGCAGCTCAGAGTTAAATCCTCCCGTTTGAGCTCCTTTTGCCTGCTCCTGTAAATAGAGGCTCTCGCTTTTCATGCAGCCTTTAGCTGAACTAGGAAAAGTCAAGCCAGTTAATGTCAGGGCTATAGTCACAGTGAGTGAGTGAGTGTGCTGCTGCTTCAGCCGGGCCCCTTCAGCAAACATCCCAGGCCCTTTTTTTACCCTTTGAGAATTTTCACCCACATTTCATTTTTAAAAGTAGGTCTCTAGAACGGAAGGATGACTCTGTCCATTTTGATCCTTCTCCGCGTCTCCTTTTTTTTTTTTTTTTTTGCAAGCGTAAGTTCCGTTTTTCACATTTCTACAGCAATATGCATTAAAAAAGGGTGTGTGTGTGGACTCCTAACAAAAATTTGTCAGCATTTTAGTGTGCCTTTTTCTTAACGAGCACATTTTTTATATGCAGTTTCAACAAATATATCTGCAAGCACTTTCCCCTAATGTATTTGGGTACCTTTTCACTAATATGTGCATTTTAACGCAAACTTCAACCTAATTTGTGTAAACATTGTTACATTGGCAAACTCTATTGCAAAATTCAAGGTCTGGCGGACCACTGCGTTTTGGTCGTTTACTGGTTGGAGAAGTGTGAATTATGCAGTTTCTCATTACAATGCAAACAAAACTAGATTTCTCTCCCATCCGTAATTTCTATCCCCCCCCCTTTTTTTACATGTAGTAATATAAGGACAAGCAGGCAGGCAGCATTCTGCATCTCAAGCGCATGGATATTTCTGAGGGCCACACTCAGATTCATATCAGGCAGCTCAGTAACTTGTGTTTCCTTAACTGACTACAGCTGGAGGAGGTGGATTCTCGTTGTGAGGTAAAGGCAAAGGGACCCCTGACCATCAGGTCCAGTCGTGGCCGACTCTGGGGTTGCGGCGCTCATCTCATTTTATTGGCCGAGGGAGCTGGCATACAGCTTCCGGGTCATGTGGCTAGCATGACTAAGCCACTTCTGGCGAAACCAGAGCAGCGCACAGAAACACTGTTTACCTTCCCGCTGGAGCGGTACCTATTTATCTACTTGCACTTTGATGGGCTTTTGAACTGCTAGCTTGGCAGGAGCAGGGACCGAGCAATGGGAGCTCACCCCGGCGTGGGGATTCGAACCACTGACCTTCTGATTGGCAAGTCCTAGGCTCTGTGGTTTAACCCACAGCGCCACCTGTGCCCCTCTCATTGTGAAGGCAGCCCCCAAAAAGGGGAGGCTGTTCTCATCACTCCCCTGCTGAGGTTGGAATGGAACTTGTGCCACCACTACCTCCCCTACATTGCTAGGAGCTTTGGCGGGGATGGGGGAGTCCCATTAGACTTCCCCACCCACTTCAGTCTCAGTGGGTTGGTGAAGAGATAAGGCTCTCCGCCCCACTTGTGGCCTCCACAATGAGAACAAAGACTCTCCACCCCAGTAATGAATGAAGGAGAAACAAGGCCTGTAGTTGCCTGCTATGTTTTCAATGCACATTTAGTTGGGCTCTCCATCAGTCCAAATCTACTCTTCGTACTTGACATTTTGTACTTGAGTAGGTGCACCTGTGTAACAAATAAGTTCACTGTGCCAGCTTTGAAGGGCATATCCATGCATTATTAGGTGCTTGCCCCTGTAAAATGCTTCTAGATAAAGTTCTTCCAACCCATTTTGTAGGTAGGTCAGAGACAGACAGACAGACAAACAGACAGAGTCTGGCCACAAGTCACTAACAAGTTTCATAGCTGAGTAGGCATTTGAACTTGTAGCTTCCTAGTCGTAATCTGGGATTCTCTTCCATTCCGTCACACAGGCTCTCCTAAGAAGGGAAGTCGAGTGAAGCAATGCAAAGCATGAAATGGTTAGACACTGTGTTTGAGAAGCAGCATGGAGCTGTAGATACTCCTCTATAGGAGCTGTAGTATCTCCTCTAAGAGTCAACCTGCACGCACTGTTGTCCTAGTGTTGGTTTCTCAGATTGCCAGCACAGGGGACCTGGTTCAGATTAGGAACTTGGTATGGGAGATAGGGGGCTCGGGTTCTTTTGCCCCACTGCAGCCTTAGTTCAGATCAGGCAACTTTGCACCTGCTATTTGCATGGAGACAGAAGGTCCTATATCACCCAAGGAGCGTTTACTTCCCCCAAGTCAAATTGCAAGCACTGGGGTGGGGGATGAGGCTGGTCTGGATCTGGACCACAGCAGGGTCTGGTCCCCTGTGCTGGCAAGGTATAAAAGAGAAACCTAGCAGTGATCATAGCTCAGCTGATAGATTGTGAGGCTCTTGATCTCAGATTCGTGGGTTTGAGCCCCACTTTGGGCAAAAGATTCCTGCATTGCAGGGGTTTGGACTAGATGGTCCTTGTGTTCCCTTCCAACTCTACAGTTCTATGATTCTGTGATGGATCATCATCATCATTTTTTATTTGTATGCCGCCTTTCCACAGTTAAAAAACAATGCTCAAGGCGGCTTACAGCATAACAAGATTTATGTAGTTACACAAGTCATAAACAATAAATAAACCACATCAAAAAAAATACACAACCAAATGGGAAATAATTTCCGCATAAATCAAAATCTAAAACTAAGAATACAGCATTCATATCAGAGTTTAAGATGACATAGGTAAAAAACAAAAACAAAACAGAGCCCTCTCTGCTCAGCAGCAGCAGTGGCAGCAGTCCTTTATAGAGCCCATCAGGGCCAGGTGGTGAGTGGCAGGACTGGGGCCCTCAGGCACTGAGCAGGGGAATCCTCCTGGATGGTAGCCATAGAAGCAGTTCTTATAGGCCTGTCAGGCCCCGTCCTGGGCCAGTCACATCAACAATGCCCTGTTAAAAGGGGGGAGCAGGCAGCTGCAATTCTCTCACTCTCAATGAAGTTTTTCAATGGTTTAGCAGAAACTGGCCAGTTTCTGGCCAGCTCTGTGATCAATGTCCAAGGTAAAGGTAAAGGGACCCCTGACCTTTAGGTCCAGTCGTGACCGACTCTGGGGTTGTGGGGCTCATCTCGCTTTATTGGCCGAGGGAGCTGGCGTACAGCTTCCGGGTCATGTGGCCAGCATGACTAAGCCGCTTCTGGCGAACCAGAGCAGTGCACGGAAACGCCAATTACCTTCCCGCCGGAGCGATACCTATTTATCTACAGTGGTGCCCCGCAAGACGAATGCCTTGCAAGACAAAAAACTCGCTAGACGAAAGAGTTTTCCGTTTTTTGAGTCGTTCCGCAAGACGAATTTCCCTATGGGCTTGCTTCGCAAGACAAAACGTCTTGCGAGTTCTTGCAAGTTTGTTTCCTTTTTCTTAAAGCTGCTAAGCCGCTAAGCTGTTAATAGCTGCTAAGCCGCTAAGCCGCTAAGCCGCTAAGCCGTTAATAGCCGCTAAGCCGCTAATAGCCGCTAAGCCGCTAATAGCCGTGCTTCGCAAGACGAAAAAACCGCAAGACGAAGAGACTCGTGGAACGGATTAATTTCGTCTTGCGAGGCACCACTGTACTTGCACTTTGGTTTAACCCACAGCGCCACCCGCGTCCCTATGTCCAAGGCAGTTTGGCCCTAAATGTAAAAAAAACCCTCCTGAATACTTTCAAGTGAATATATGCTCCCCGCTTCCTCATTTTTGGTAAACCATGCATCATTTCCACTGGACCAAGCTACCTCCAGAATGTGCCAGAAAGTTCCTGGTATGCAACACTGCAACATGACTTGCAAACTTGAACATAATTATGGCGCCGCATTTCAAGCCTTGTTCCTATGAGTGAGAGATTCTTGCAGCCGAGATTTAAAAGGTATAATGACACCAACATTAACTCATAAAGACTTATACAATTCCCTGCTCTTTGTGTATAAATTTGTCAAACCCGAACTGACAGCAATACAAATGGAGGTTATTGAAATCCATTTCCCCCCAAGCAGACCACTAAATCATTTAATTTTTCTCTCGCTAGACAAAATCTAATACCAGAGGTGTCTAATTGCTGGGGTTATATATTTTTCTTTCAACTTTTGACGTTCTAATCTCTGCTAATAAGCTTCCCATCCTTCTTAAAGGTGCAAAGTTTGCATGATGAAAAGGAACTTCTTGCTGTGCAAGGCATCGCAGATGGGCAAGATGTTATCAAATCGCTGCTGAAACACAGTCAGCCTTATCCAGCAAGGCAGTTGCAGGGCCTGAGTTGATGCTAACACAAAGTGTGGTTGTTCCTTTTAGTCTTCTTAATATATATTTCCCCCCAAAAAATCCTTTTAATTCTGTACAACCAGGGCTTTTTTTCAGCCAGAACTCAGTTCAATACCTCTCAGGTGGGTACCATTGCCATTATAAGAGAAAAAGGGAGACATTCACAGTGAGTTCCGGCACCTCTTTTTCTAGAAAAATAGCACTGTGTACAACATACAAACAATAAACAGTATCCCTGGAACAGAAATATGGCATGCAACAAGTAAAACAGTAGTATAAAAGCATGTAAAAACAGGGAAATCATGGCATTCAAACACATAAAACAGGGCTTGGTCTTATGCAGGGGTCAGCAAAGTTTTTTAGCAGGGGGCCGGTCCACTGTCCCTCATACCTTGTGGGGGGCCGGACTATATTTTGAAGGGGAAAAATGAACGAATTCCTATGAATAACCCAGAGATGCATTTTAAATAAAAGCACACATTCTGCTCATGTAAAAACACCAGGCAGGCCCCACAAATAACCCAGAGATGTATTTTAAATAAGAGGACACATTCTACTCATGTAAAAACACGCTAATTCCCAGACTGTCCGCGGGCCAGATTTAGAAGGCAATTGGGCCACATTTGGCCCCTGGGCCTTAGTTTGCCTACCCATGGTCTTATGGATCAGGGAAAGCCAGGGCAAAATGATAAGTCTTTACAAGACATCTGGAATACCTTGATAGCTGCTGCTTCACATATGACACAGGGAAGGGCACTCCATAGCGCAGAGGCCCCAGCAGAAAATGCCCGTTTTTATTTTTATTTTTTAAATAATTTTTATTAACAAGCCAATCACATCACATTATCCAAATCACATTAGTTCCAAATTATACAGCCAAATTTTAAATTTTGTTGGGGGTACCCATACATCAAGCTCCGAACGAGTCCAAACATCACTTATATTGCTGCTTTAATTAAACAGTTCTATCCAGTTCAATCCAGATAGTCCTTTATTACTTTCTTCATCTTCTTGTTGTTATCGTATATTCCTTTCTTTGCGATCTCTGATAATTTTCACAAGCAGATTGGAAACAGGCATCCTCTGTGTGGGTTTTGTACTCTCCAAAAATCATATCGCTCAGGGACAGCCGCTATTCCACGCTTCCATTATAAAAAAATTAATCTTCAGTCTGTCCTTTAATTTTCTCAGACTTGCCAAGTATATCAGGAGGCTCTGCCAGGTCAAGATTACATTCCAACCATCTCATTCCAATGGTCCTGATTCTCCTCCCCCTGTCCTTCTTTCTCCGGCAAGCCTGTCTTGGCGAGACGCCATTTTTTAACTGCGTCATAAAATTTTCCTCCGTTCTCATTGTTTACCAATCCTCTCTTTAGCTATAATCCATCCCACACAGTTCTTGAATTCCTGCTTGTGGTTAGTAAAACGCAATGATCTTATTTCTTTCTGGGGTGGAGGGTTATTAATATCACATAGTGCAAAGAAAAAAAAGGTTTTTTCCTCCACCACCCCTTCATTCAAAACATACAGTCTCATAATGGTGGTTCATCAGAAGATTTACTTATCCATCCGTCACTCCGGTCACAGAGATCCATTAGTCAGCAGTCTTATCTCCCGAGCGATGCTTGATGTATGTGCTTTAGCTTCATTCCAACCATATGTTTCCAATTATAATTCCGAGCTAAAGCAAGCCAGCACGCGCTAATTGGAACCGGCGTCAGGAAGAGCTGACCTCATCGAGGGCTCATGCCAAGTGTCCGGCACCCCCATCTCTCGAATCCGGGGGTGCATTGTGGGCACCGCTGGCAAGGCAGCCCCCCCATCTCCTTGGGGGGGTAGGAAGACTGCATACTTCCCATAGCAGCCTCTTAATTACCTCGTATGGGTCAGAGAGATGTTATTGTCGGCCATCTCCCAATGCGCCACCCGTTTTTAGATCACCACCTGAAAAATGTTTAATGCATGCCTTAGGTGCAGATGTTGCTAGACCCCAAGTTGCACTGATAGCCTTCCTCAAACTAGTAAAGATGTTTTGGACTACAACTCCCATCATCTCCAGCTATTGTCTACACTACCTGTGGCTGATTGATGAAGATGGTTGTGGCTCTCTCACACACAAACACAGACATGGACGTACTTTAGAAACCAACAAACAGAGTAGCAGGGAAGAACAATATCCCGTTCCAAAGATGCCAACAGCACAATAGCCACAGCAGGGAGTCCCTGCTGGAAAATCCCATGCCGTTTCTTTTGGCATCATTGTGAAGGGACCGTATGCTACATATGGATGGATGTAAACATGTGGGGCAATTCCATATTGTTTTAGGATCATATGGAGGAGACGTAGGGATGGCAAGAAATTTCATTCAGCTTACATCTGTCTGATGTGGCAGGTGTCTATTGTTGAACAAAACTCAGAGTTCAGTAGACAAATATGGAACTAAAATGTGTGGGATTTGCTTGCAAACACTTCCTTAGTTTTTGCAAAAGCTGGAAATGCTTTTCATGCTGGAAGGAAATCTTCAGAGTTAGCAAGGCCCATTTCCTCCCTTTGATTACATACAGTGGTACCTCGGGTTACATACGCTTCAGGTTACATACGCTTCAGGTTACAGACTCCGCTAACCCAGAAATAGTGCTTCAGGTTAAGAACTTTGCTTCAGGATGAGAACAGAAATCGTGCTCCGGCGGCGCAGCGGCAGCAGGAGGCCCCATTAGCTAAATTGGTGCTTCAGGTTAAGAACAGTTTCAGGTTAAGACAGACCTCCGGAACGAATTAAGTACTTAACCTGAGGTACCACTGTATTCACTTAGACTGTAATTCAATGCTCTCTTAACTGGGAATATGGACTGCTGAACTCCATGGAACTTACCTTTGTACAGGACTGTTGCTGTCTTTTGTCTTTTGTTTATTCAGAAAGGCAAGGATGAAATGCCAGCATTTTTGTGGTCACGTGACATGACTTCTCATCCCTTTTCCTCCATTTGTGAACATTCATGACAACACCAGGCAGTTATTTTCTTGGTTATTAAATGATGCGCCGTGAGAGGATGTAACATTCTTGCATCTCTGGTGCATCCCGAAGGAGCCTGGGGTTGATGTTATGTGCCTTGAAAAGGAACGTGGCGATGATGCATTGCTCA